ACATATCAAGTCGAGGAATAGGATCGCAAAACGGGAGATGAGATACTGGAAAAAGGATTGGTCTATCTATTTTAAAATCGATTGAGGCGTTTCAATCGTGTACAATACAATACTATCTGGACTTAATTGTGAAATAGTTCCTTTCTTCGCGCCATCCAAATATTCATTCATCTACGTCCCGGTCATGTCCATCTACCCCTTCTTCCCAACCGCTACCTCAAGAAACATACGCAAAATTTGATCCTCGACACGCTAACCAGAATTCTCTCACCACCGAATTTGTTCCCCGAGCACCACGAAGACTTCACAAAGTTAGCTCACAACTTCACTCACATATCGGACATCGGAATCAGCAACTTACTTCATAACCTTAGTCAAAAACACCAGTTTCTCCTTCTGATCGACCTTATCACTCGGAAAGTTTCCATCCATCAACGCAGCTTCCAACCAACTCTTTGCTCGCACCTGACTCACAACAAGTTTTCGCAGCGGATCCGAAAGTTTGTCGAGTTCGCTGCGAGCGGCTGCGCCACCCATGTTGTAGATGAGGGCTTGGGCCAGGAGTGGTCCGAGATGTTGAAGAGCGTTGGTGATGGCTTGTTGGACGTGGGTATCGGGGTTGTTGGTAGGGAGGGAGACGAATGAGGCCTGGATTAAGGTTAGTCTTTGAGTTTTTGATTTTTCATTTAATTCGAGAGAGAGAATTAGGATGATTAGTAGGATGTAACTTACCCAGAATTCCGCGGCGCTTTGTTTAGGTAGGGGATCGCGGCCTGTGAGGGCTTTGAGGGTAAACATGAAAATGTGTTCGAGTGAGGATTTGGGCTCGTGATTCAGGAGAATGTGGAGATTTTTGGGGGTGGAGATTAGACGGTGGAGGAACTCTATGCTTGGTTGCGAGATCTCTGGGTCATTGCTGGGCTCTGTAATTTGTTAGCATAAATTGTTCTCTTCCTTTTTGATAAATTGTGTTATGAAACTGCGAATTCGAACACAAGGACGTACCGTGATTTATAGCTTCCATCAATCCAGAGACCCATGTCAACAAGGCACTTGAAACTTGATTATTGCGCTCATCTAATGTTGTGTTACATGAATTAATGAGTGAGCAGGCGGTGTTGATGACTGTGATGACACGAGGTGTCTGATAATTTGATCTGAAGATGAATCTAAGTCATCGAGTTAGCATTGAAAAATCTTACCATAACATGCTAAGAAGCAACTTACTTGGCGACATCCTCAGGAGGGAAAGCAAATGGTCCATCAGTTTCAACCAAGCCAGTACGGAAAACATGTGAGATTTCCTCTGTTACCTCACCATGGCCAGGGAAAGCTTCGTTGGCTGCGGTAAGAATGTTCAGAACCTGTACTTGAATTCCTCTGCCATTGCCATTCTTCCAGTATGAATAATTATTTTCACTGGTGTTAAGATCAACAGGGGTATCAGCTGGTACTTGAAGACCCTTTCCGATACTTATCAGACATCGTATAGCAGTGAGTTCAACTTCGTCAGCAGCTACTTGGCCATCCGGCACTTGTGTATTTGAGGCCGCATTTGTGAATTGTGTGCTCAATAAATGAAGGCTTCGTTCGTGGTCCCTTTGAACAAATTCCAATAATTGTCTAAGAGGGTCCAGCTTTAATTCATCGTTCGACATTGCTTCAATGATAGATGCAATAGCACCAATGACACCCTCTTTCGCATAACTTTCCACAGAGTTCTCTCGATTAATCTCACTATATTGCTGCAGAAACGCCGCAAGTTCAGGGACAAGTACTTTTCGGCACGATGAACAGAGCATCGCGATTGACTTTGATGTTACTCTGGCCAACGTTGGTGAATGCAGCATGCTGAACATAAGATTAAGGGCGCTCGGAAGATGTTGTGTATGACGTTCAAAATACTCTGGATAACCATTGATGACCATGAGGAACGCCTGCCTTGTGCGTGAAGGAACAGTTGAATCAGACCTTGCAAGCATAGAGAAAAGTGGCGACCCAAAAACTTTGTCCAAGTATTCATCTGACTCCTCCTTTATATAGTCCTGAAACTCAGCTAAGCAGGTCAATGAGGCTTCGAGTTCACCCCAAGCATTTCCTTTCTCAACCGATTTCAAGATGAGGTCGACAAAGCTAGAAACAAGTGGTAATCCAAGTAACATGTATGATTGTTGTATTAAGTCTCCCACGTCTCTTCGAGCGTCTTTGAAGGCAGCGCGCTCATTTGAATCCCACGAACTGAATTCATGTTTGGGAGGGAATTGCATTTTTTGCCAGCATTTCTCGATTGCTTGCATCAGCACTGATCGCGCTGCTGGTAGCCAAGGAGGCGAAGCATCCACGTTGTATGACAAGTCGAGTACAGTTTCTAGATAGACAGCCCAGAATTCTACTGCTGGGACGAATATCTTGTCTTCATTGACGATATAACCATCAGCGCCAAGTAGTCCTACAAGAGCAGAAAGTATCTGCTGACTTCGAGAATCGGTCGAGATGTTTTGGGCTAGATCTTGTACCGTGGCATCGCCAAAGCTTAATAAGAATTGACCGAACTGCACTGAATCAAAGTCAAAATCGCCTTGGATCAATTTGGCATATCTTTCCTGTGCCCAAGAGCTACTGAAGAGATCGTAAAGCATCGTGAAGTCATTCTCGGAAAGAAAGGACGAGTAGTTGGCTAGAATGTCTGCAAACAGCTCCACGGTGATTTCATATAAATCGTTATCGATGATTAGCATCAATGCAGGCTGAGTTAGAGTTCTTAAAGGATCAAGAACAATGGCAGCATCGAGAAATGCACGATGAGAGTAAAGAACCCATGACTATTCATGTTAGTATTGATTCTGAAAAGGGCGCCCAAATGATTCTTGAGGTGTTGAACATGCTTTGGCACAATTGAAGCTGTTTGGTTCTGTCCAAAAATCGAGCTATATGGGTCAATTCGAATAACCTGTTGATCTCATAAGGCTTTCAAATGCGATCCAAGGAACAGCCTTTAGATACTTCAGCATACCTTGGCCATTCAATATATTACTTGTGCAATGGCGATGCCTACGGCGATACAAATGGCTGTAGTGAAGAAAAATCGAAGACTAACCTGAAAACATTTCATTGATTCCTGGCGAACCTTTGTGTTTATAGAAATCCCTGTTGTGTTTACAATGCCCTTTATCAATATAGTCACAATGTCTTCAACATTCTGAACCACATATTCGTGAAATTTATGTCTAAGGAATATTAGCAACTGGCTTGATTGTAGAGAAGAGATGTACCCACTGCTTCATTGAATTTGAATCTGTTTTTCCAACTTCTTCTACCAAGGTAGCTGAGAACCACAGTATCGCCAGACTTTTGTCATCTGGTAGATTCTGTGCAAGGACCGCCATAGTAGGAGCATCCTCGATTTTATGATAAGGAACGGCCTCGCCAAGGCAAAGGCAGTATGTGAGATGAGAAATGCAACGAGCCCAAGAGCCAGAGAAATGAAGGAAATAAGTGACCAATGTTGTGCATAGTTTTCTGACGACAAGTGGTCCGCAGCCGGAATTCAAACATTTAATAAGCCATCCAATGATCTGTTGCAGCACAATTTGCGCATCATCATCCTTTAGAGATTGTCTAGAATGAAGACATCAGTAAAAGTCAACAAGAAACTGAAAAAATTTAGGGGCCAGCCTACGTACGAATCTGTGTTGAGTTTGATAGTGAATGTCAATGCCCCAAAGAATTTGACATTTTCCGAGTTGCTGCCCAGTAGGCCATTGGCCAGCTCCCAACCAGCAGGAGAACGCTGTAGCTTTTGAAGAGTTTCTTGAATTTTCGAAACCTGTTGAGGAGGACCAGCCTTGTATAGTTGATGAACGAGCTATAGTCCAATCAGCAAGTCTTCTATATTACATATCGAACATTACAAGGTGGTTGCGTGTTTGCTAGTAAAAGATATCTTGACTGATCTCGTGACATTCCATTTTCAGCAAAATTTTGTTAAACAAAATATCCATCGTCTTCAAGCCACTTCACTATCATAAGTCATTATGGGAAAAGATGAACTTACAGCTTCTACCTCATCAAGTGATGAAGGTAACGTTTCGGTCGCCATATCCTTTTGAAAGGGTATCGTTTGTGTAACAATCAAGCAAAAACGGAAGCACACGCGATCTAAAAGTAAGACAGATTAGGAGGAAGCTTGAACTTGATACATGACCGTAGCCAAAAGATATCGAGGTTATAATTTCGAGTGATTCTTCAAATCAGATTCTGGGGATCTATGATGTGGAAGGGAAAGAAATCTGCAAGATTTTATGCTGTAAATTGTTTGTTTTGTTATGGCCGGTGAGTCTTTGGGTCAGCCTTTTTGATAGCGGTAGCAAGCAGGCCTTCACAAGCCTTGCAAAGTGGATAGAAAACAATTGATTGATCCTCGCTATTAAAGACAATTAATGTTGGTTATGTTTTATCACTTCTTGGTCTGATAGAATAAAGAGAGAAATCTCGAGAAGCGTCTACAACTGGAACATTTTTATTTTGGGGAATATTGTAGCAAATTTGAACCTGCAATCTATCTTATGTTGTTGTAGGTCGAGTCGCTTCCATTTGGAAATTTGGTGGTGTTGGGTTGGTTTGTTCAATAAGATATTGTTAACCCCACCTCAGCCGACCAGTAGCCTCGGGGTGGTGGTAGCCTCACCAGATGATTCCATGACTAAATGTTTTACATGTCTACTTGTAGCACATCAAATGGTACAGTGAAGAATACACTCATTGGAATCATTCGTACACAAGAGGCTCAAACAGCTTATTCCAACAAAGAAAGATAGTACTCGAGTAAGTAGATATTCAACAATCGAATTACAAAGACTGTTGTGTTACCTAATAAGTTTCTTGACTCCGATCTACACATTTCATACCTTCTTTCACGTTACATCGAGCCTCGCTGTTATCTGCCCCATCTTCTTTGACCACTCATTTCCGTTCCACGACCTACCGTCTTGGGAAACCCAATGCGATACTTCCGTCCCTTAAATAGTTGCTTACGTGGAATTCGTTCTTGTAGCTCCTTTCACCCATTCGCACAATCTCTCAACACTCGCATTCGATATTCGTCCAGTTTTGCCAGTACGTGCATTGCAGATCCGAGGAGTGCTCTCTTGATTGAGGCCTGGAGTTGACGAGATCTTAGAAACAGATATGGAGAGCATTAATACAACGGAGCGCTTGGCGGGGTTGCGGGAGCTTATGAAAAAGAACAAGGTCGATGTCTACAGTATGTAAGTCACCTAGTGGCCATTCCTCCATGTATCAACTCTGCCTAACCATCATATAGTCGTTCCCTCGGAAGATAGCCACAGCTCCGAATACATTGCAGCGTGCGATGCGCGAAGGGAATTTATATCAGGGTTTTCGGGATCAGCCGGATGTGCAGTAGTGACTCTGGAGAAAGCTGCTTTAGCCACGGATGGTAGGTCATGAAATTTGGTCTGTGTAGAGACTCCACTAAGTTTCTTATAGGTCGATATTTCAACCAGGCCTCACGCCAGCTTGATAGTAAGTAAATTGGTTTGACTTCAGTCCCATGGAAAGCAGGCATCATGCTGGCATTCTCTTAGGGCTACTGATCACTTGGAGACTAATCATGATAATTTAGACAATTGGCTCCTTTTAAAACAAGGTCTACAAGATGTACCAACGTGGCAAGAATGGGCTGCTGAACAGTCCGAGAATGGGAAAGTGGTCGGTGTTGATCCTACTATCATGTCTGCATCTGACGCTCGAAAACTCACCGAGAAGATTAAAAAGCGTGGCGGGTAAGCATAACACATCCATTGCTTTCATAATTCATAGAGGGCTGTCTCTGTTCTATACTTCATATGAAAGATGCTGATTTGATTGTGGTAGAAATGACTTAGTTGCCGTGGAAGAAAATCTGGTGGACCTTGTTTGGGGAGACAGTCGTCCATCCAGACCAAAGGAGCCCGTCAAGGTTCTGGCCCGCAAATTTGCCGGGAAAGACGTCAAGACAAAACTCGAAGATCTCCGAAAGGAATTGCTGAAGAAAAAGAGCTCCGGTATTATTGTATCCATGTTAGATGAAATAGCTTGGCTATTTAATCTGCGTGGAAATGATATCCCTTACAACCCAGTTTTCTTCTCTTACGCTTCGGTCACATCTTCATCCGCCACTTTATATGTGGATTCAAGCAAATTAAGTGATGAATGCACGGCGCATCTCAATGAAAACGGAGTTTCCGTTAGAGACTATTCAAAGATATTTGGCGACGTTGAGGTCTTGAGCCAATCTCTGGATGCAGAAGACGCCAAAGTCAAGAAGTTCCTGGTCTCAAGCAGGGCATCATGGGCACTAAAACGCGCTCTTGGTGGTGATGCAAAGGTCGATGAAGTGCGAAGCCCAATCGGTGACGCTAAATCTGTCAAAAATGAGACGGAACTAGAAGGAATGAGAGCTTGTCATGTTAGAGATGGAGCAGCACTTATCGAGTACTTTGCATGGCTCGAGCATCAGCTCGTAGTCGAAAAAGTAGAGATGGATGAAGTGACCGCGGCTGACAAACTCGAGCAATTACGGTCAAAGCAGAAGAATTTTGTTGGGCTATCTTTTGACACGATATCCTCCACTGGACCTAATGCAGCAGTCATTCATTACAAGCCTGAGCCCGGCAACTGCTCAATAATTGATCCAAAAGCTGTTTATTTATGTGATTCTGGCGCCCAGTATTTTGACGGCACTACTGACACCACTCGTACACTACATTTTGGCGAGCCAACAGAAATGGAAAAGAAGGCTTATACTTTAGTTCTGAAAGGTAACATTGCTTTAGATGTCGCCATTTTCCCTAAAGGAACTAGCGGATTTGCTCTCGACGTCCTTGCTAGACAGTTCCTCTGGGTAAGTCCAATCACTCAATATCGCTCTTATGATGCTAAGATACAAACAGGAAGAAGGCTTGGACTACAGGCATGGAACAGGCCACGGAGTTGGTTCTTTTTTGAATGTTCACGAAGGACCAATAGGAATCGGGACTAGGATTCAATATTCGGAAGTCCCACTAGCACCTGGAAACGTCATCTCCAACGAACCTGGGTATTACGAGGATGGCTCTTTCGGCATCCGAATTGAAAACATTATCATGGTGAAGGAGGTTGAGACGAAGCACCAATTTGGCGAAAAGCCATATTTGGGCTTTGAGCATGTCACAATGGTGCCATACTGCCGGAAACTTATTGATGAGACTCTCCTGACCCGAAAAGAAAAGCACTGGTTGAACGAGTATCATGCTGATATTTATTCTAAAACTAAAGACTTCTTCAAGGGAGATGAGCTCACTATGAGATGGTTAGAGAGGGAGGTCGAACCATTGTAGTCATGCATGGAGGGGTGTCTTACCCAGGCCATAGGGAGGGGCAAAGTAATGAATGAGAGAGCTGAGGCCCGTGACAACATAGCATACATATTGCCATACGATTAGCATTTTTGATAGCGCAGAAATGTTTCACTGTTGTACTTGCATCAAGTAAATACACCCCACTATCTTGAATTGTGGAAAGCTCTGTATCGTGAAAATAGCGTTAAAAACATCCCACTTCTTAGACTATCGTGGTCAAGGTTCATGCATCATTGTGGAGAAAGATTGAAGGTCTTAATAATTTGAAAGGATCACGTGCAGACAGGACTGATAAAACCAATCAAAACCAAAGGAGGAATGTCCGCTTCTAGATCTAGCTTTAACGGTGAGTTTAACCAGACCTTCGAACAGGAAACGAATAGCAGGAAGAAACAAGGAATCAAAGAAAATTTATGTTTTGCTCTGTTGTATTTTACTCACCGCACAATTGAATCCACAAAACTTCTTGTGCGTGCGTGCATTGTCCCAAATCTGCAGTTGGCACTTGCATTACTATTACCTCCGGTACGCCGTGGCAATTTATCGTAGCTAATTCATTAATTCATTCCCCTCAACATCCCGCCTTCAGTTCAAAACACTATGCCGCCGAGCCAGAATGGTCTTCGCATGTCATCGATATATCGTGGCAACAACTGCGCTTTCATTCCTCTTCTGCCTACCTAACAGGACAATCGCGAGCAGTGTGCCAACCACTGCCAGCACAGGCCCTATAATCAATGTCCCGAATACTACTGGAACATGCGAGTTTAGAACGATCAACTACATAACAGATATATTACCTCAACAATGCCTTCGTTCATCCTGGAGCAATACGGACTCTCCGCCAACAACAAAGACAAATGTTGTAGGTGCAGCTGGAACTGTTGAAAGCCAGGAAAATGATGTTGTAACGGACACGATATCGAACACATCTTCTTTCAGCGAGTCTGTTGCCCAAACAAACGACGAAGCTAAAATTACGGGCGATACAAGTCGTATATCCGTCATTCAGCTTAAATCATCCAGCCCATCTCCAGACATACCGTCTCCTACGGAATCTCCGACTACTGTCGATGAAGGAGAGCTTAATGATGCCTCATTTTTGTCATTCGAAGAGTGGAAGAAACAAACATTGGAGCAAGCTGGGCAGCAGGATTTGAATCTGGGCAAGCGAAGATCTGCGGAAGCAGCTAGAAAAAGAGAGTCGGAAGCATTCCAAAACAATCTTGAGTCTCTTGGAGATGATGGAGAAATTGATTTGGACTTTGGTGCTTTCCGGAATGGAGGGGCTGAGCAAACCTTAAGAACGACCGAAGATAAAGGCATGGGTTCAAATCAGGATTCACCAGAAGAGAAAAGTGGTTCTGGGCATCGAAAGGAACACCGAAGTAAGGATGCTGGCAAGACCTGCAAAGAGCGTTTTTCCTATGCATCATTTGATGCCGGTGCTACTGTTCTGAAGACCCATCAAGGCGCAAAAAATTCAAAAGCTGTGTTGATAGAGAATAAGGATTCCTATATGCTTTCGGAATGTAAAACACCGAACAAGTTTTTAGTCATTGAGCTTTCGGTATGAATTGTGCTGCCCCGAAACAGAAATCACATTGCTAACAATCATTAGGAAGATATATGGATCGATACTCTAGTTCTTGCCAATTATGAATTTTTCTCCAGCATGCTAAGAACATTTAGAGTTAGTGTTAGCGATCGATGGCCTGTGAAGACGGACAAGTGGAAAGATTTAGGTGTCTATGAAGCTCGTAACTCCCGAGAAATACAAGCCTTTTTAATAGAAAATCCGCAAATTTGGGCAAGGTATATACGCATCGAATTTTTGACACATTACGGAAAGGAGTACTATTGCCCGCTCTCGCTCGTGAGAGTTCATGGCACTCGCATGCTTGAAAGTTGGAAGGATACTGAAGCTAACAATGATGACGACGAGGAAGCGGATGAGGACCCCGAAGAAGGATTTGTTCCAGAAGCTGTAGCAGAAATCATTCAGGCGACGTCGACTGAAACGCAAGCTGTGCGTGTAACAGCGAGTAACCAGGCAGAGCCTACAGTATTATATACTACTCGAGACGTTCAAAGGGAAGAAATGCCAGTGGAGACGCACCTTAAACCACCGCCAACACCAACCTCTCCTTGGAAGAAACCTATAGCCAGAGAATTTGAATTACTTTCTATACAATCTCTATACTTGTGCTATCCTTCAGATGCTCCGGAACATATTCTCACAAGTCAAGCCGCGGTGGAGAATGAGTCATATAAATTCAAGACTACTATGAAAGTTCCGCCATCACCTGAGATGATTTCTACTGCCTTCACAGATAAGGGGATCACATCCTCATCATTGTCTTTCACCGGTCCTTCTGCACAGCAAACGTTGTCCGAGGATAAAGCATCCCTAGCAAGCACGTCACTTACACAAGAAACCCATGAATCCTCCAAGGTAACTCACGACAGTTCACATTCAACTATCCCGACAAGTTCCACGACTACTATAGTTAACAAATCTCAAGATACGACGAGTACAAATAAGACGCGAGGTACAAACACTTCTTCTGGATCTGCCTCTTTACCCACTATCCAAGAGAGCTTTTTCAAGGCTGTGTCAAGACGTCTGCAGCTGTTGGAAACGAACTCAACTTTATCATTGAAGTATATCGAAGAGCAATCAAAGATGCTTCGAGAAGCCTTCCTAAGAGTCGAAAAAAGGCAACTTCAAAAGACAACTGATTTTCTCGAAAACCTCAATAGCACAGTTCTTACGGAACTCCGCGTGTTTCGTCAACAATATGATGAGATATGGCAATCGACTGTTATTTCACTTGAAAGTCAACGAGAAGAATCTCGTCGAGAAATTTTGGCTATTAGTGCCCGTCTCAATATCCTGGCTGATGAAGTTGTCTTTCAAAAGCGCATGTCTATCATCCAATCTGTACTGCTTCTTCTGTGTCTTGGCCTCGTGATTTTCTCTCGTGTCTCCAGTACTGAGCCTCTCGGCTTCTCTCTCCATAATCGGCGTTCCCGCATTAGCAGCAACATCACTAATATGGAAAGTCCAATCGATATGCCGGGTTACAACTTCCGGGACCGCGAAGATTACATCGGTGATGCAAGTTCCCCTGTAAATGCGTGGACCGGTCACCATCGACGTCAGCCGTCGGATGAATCTGTCAACTCGCGCTCCCGATCAAGAGGTTGGGGTCCTCCAACACCCATATCAACATATTCCCGCTCTGATAACGAACTGACTCCTCCACGTTCATTTGACGACGCAACCCCCAGCACCATAACCGGAGCAACAACTGGTACCTTTTCTCGACTTCGCAGAAGCATCACTATGAAATACCAGAATTCTAACCCCTTGCTATCTGCATCTAAAGAACATGAACTTCTTCGCACCTCATCATTCGGACCTTCACTTAGATCTCATAATTCTTCACCTGCCTCGTTCCTGTCAGTTGCAGACGCGAAAGAAAGGGGTGTCAGAGATAGAAATCCTACTGCTCTGGCCAGTCCCCCGCCTAGTGATATTGAGAGTCACGATCCCATGGATGAGGTGAACTCCACATACTCGGGTGTTCAACACGATGCGTTGGAAGAGCAAAGTGTTGCTGATATCAGGGAATCTCAATCCCTTCGAACACCCACACAAGAAGAGCCTGTTAATGAGCAAAAACCTTTGCCGGCTTTACCTGATGGAGGCCCAAGCCCATAGTATAAGTTCTTTTTACTTGGTCTTTGAATTATTGTTCTACTATTTAGCGAGGAGTCTGGTTTGGGTCTTGGCATATACCATTATTGTTTATCGTTCATAGCTATGATATTGAGGTCAAATAAAACGCTTTTTTGATTGCCATGATACTATTTTTGTGTCCCTTCTACTATATTTTCACGGTGCCACAGAACTACATGAATTCATATCATCCCATCAAGATCAGTTACTCAATAGTATGTCTTCAGAGGGAGCAATTGAGTTGGAATTAGCTGGATTCCTCGGCTATCCGATGAGTGAAGATTACAAAGTATCAGCTTGCGGCAGTATTTATACTTAAGTCTTTTAAAATGATCACATCTGAAGACCCGCTAGTCCTCAAATCTGAATGGAAAGACTAGAAATATTTGAGTCTAAAGGGTCATTGGATTGAAGTGTGGCAAAGGTTGGAGGGGTATTTGACTTGCAGATCGGAGTTGAAACAGTTGTGAGGTCTCGCTTCAAGTTATTTCAGAACGCAGAGCAGTATACAAATTCGCTACCACGTCATGAATACCGTTGTATACTTATCACTCCAGTCAATCGTAGCTGTAGGTTGATCGAGGTTCGTGCTTACGATGAACTCTTCCCAGTCAAACCAAAACCGCGAAGCGGTTAGATCCAGAGACAAGGTAGCTGCACCGGCATCTTTCAAGTACTTAATGCGATCTTTCGAGCCTTGAAATGTGGCAATGACGTTGTCGCCTCGGTCTAGAATGTTTTGGACGAGTGCTTTTCCAAACCCGGGGGAACAACCTGTGAAGTGGATTTTATAGTTTCTACGAGGGTTGAGACGGAATTTGATAAGCTTAGAGCGGTAATCATGAAGATAGTAATGCTTTTCGTGCCGCACCGGATGCTCTTCTCTCCGGTTCCGACTCCCAACAGTTGGTCTTACATCACGAGATGGCGATCCGACATGGTAAACCATTGCACAGAGAAAGTAGTCTTTCCTTATGATGACAGGAAGGATTAAATCTTGATTCCTAGAATGCACAGTTCTCGATATCAAGATTTGCAAGGGCAGTGTACGTTTTAAGACTAGAAGCTTCCGAGCATGGAGTAAGATAATAAGTAACTGCCAAGGAGTATTAAGTCACAATAGTAGTCATTGAATATGTAAATTATAGCAAGCATAGCAAATTGATCTCCAAACACTAAGTGGTGCCTGGAACGATCGACTAATATAATGGCTACCCTCTTTGTGTATAAACAT